CATAAAAGAAGAATGTACAACACTATCTAAGCACATATCATCCAACACTTGTCATGTGCTAAGTAGTAGATATTGTCACTTATATATAAGTAGTAGATTTCTTTTCAAAACCCCACTTTTTATTTCTTTCAATTTTACGAAGATTCCCTAAAGAAAGGAAAAAAATCAAAGGAAATTATTCTCTAGTTTCATTTTATATGTCACTTTTCGATTTGATACAATATTTTTTTAACTTTTTAAAATTATAGTTTAAAACAATTCTTAGATATTTGTATGATTGTAAATCATTTTATTAAAGGTAAAAAAAGAATTGCGAGTAAAATTATTTCTAATTATAGTAAAATATTCTTTAGTAAAATTATTTCTAATTATAGTAAAATATTCTTTTTTAAGACGAACTAAAAAAGAAAAGAGTATCACATATATGCCACTTTTTGATTTGATACAATACTTTTTTAACTTTTTAAGAATTACGGTATAAAACAATTCTTAAATATTTGTATGATTGTAAATCATTTTTATTAATGGTAAAAAAAATTGAGAGTAATATTATTTTTAATTATAGTAAAATAATATTCTTTTTTAAAACGAACTAAAAAAGAAAAGAGTATCACATAAAATGAGATTTCTTATTAGTCGTTCATTGATTGTAATACTATGACAACTCTATCCCATCCATGAAGATAATTTTCCAACCAAACAATAGTATACATTGCACACAAGCACTCAACACAAGTGAATTTATCTTTAAAAGCAAATAGGTAAATATATCTTTTAATTTTGTGATTTAAAGAAAATATATATTTTTTATTAAAAATTAATGCATATATAGCTAACTTTATCATCTTATAAATGATGTATACATCTCATCATTTAACAAATAATGTATATTTATCCTTTTTGTTAACAGACTAAATTACAAGAAATCATGAAACTGATTTTTTAAATTTGAAAATTTTCACTTGACTTTAAAAAATTATCTCAATCATAATTTTTTTTATTCCTCCAAGCCGATCTAAGTAAAAAGAACTCAATTCCTCTTTTATTGAGATCCAACCCAAATTCACTTTATGACCGAGTAAAAAAAGGATTGATTTTTTTCCCATTTGGGTTAGTACGCTTGAAGGAGTATAAAAAAAAATAAGTGAGATAATTTTTTAAAGCTGATGAAATTTTTGACAAACTTAGGGTGTGTTTGGTATAAAGGAAAATATTTTCCGGTACATGTTTTTCAATTTTCTCATGTTTGATTGGGTAAAATGTATCTAGGTGTATCTGACTAAAATTTTGGTATGAAATGTAATTATTTCAAATTATAGGAGAATTAGTAAATATGATAGGATTGTTTGTGTAATTAGGTAGTGTCCCAATGTCATCTTTGGGACATTGGGTAGTGTCTCATGTATCGAGTGAAGGGCATATATACTCTAGTCTTTGGACGGCAGGGACACCAATGTTCCAAAAGTATCGAGTGAAGGGCATATATGCTCTAGTTTTTGGACAGTAAGGGTACCAATGACCCAAAAGTATTACGAAGAATATCTATATACCATTTGCGGTAATTCAGGGGTATATTTATCATTTTTCCCAAAGAAAATATTGTTGTACTTACAAAATTATACTCTGTGCAGACTCTGCTTCTGTAAGTTATATATATATATATATATATATATTACATAAAGTAACACCTCAATTTGTTCTGAATTTTCAAAAAGACACCTTAAATATGCGGGCGTCCTATTACCCCACTAAACAATCTTGAACTCATATTGTTACATATTTTTTGTCCACCTAACATAGAGAGTGTGTGCACTCTCTCAAAGAGAGTGAGCAACCTAAAATAACTAATATAATTTTATTTTTACAAGTATTTTATTATAAAATATATTTTCTTATTTTTCTTATTATTTTAACTATTTTCCCTTTTTGTTTTCTCTCTTTTTTTCTTTTTCTTTCTTCTTCAAATATTCTCTGTCATCTCCATTAAAGCTTTTCACTTTCAATGTTACCATTTTTACCACAATTTCACCTTTCTTTTTTTCTACTATTAGTTTTACTCTCTTTAATTTTAAAACTTTATCTAAATATTTTCTTACATTTCGAATAATTTGATAAACCCATTAGATTTCACTTAGGAAGTATCAGATATATTTTTTTAATCCAATTTCAATTAAGTTCTTTCAATTTTCGGGGAATACATTGATTCTTTTAAAATTATCATTTCTAATCTCGAAGTTATATGAAAAGGAATAATTGATGATACCTTCAAAATTTTAAATTTTCTTAGAAAAATAATTAGTTTTGTTATCAATAAAGGCTAGAAAATAGTATGAAATCTTTTTTATAAAAAAATCACTGAAATAAAGAATTTGACCGGAGAAGAAGAAGAAAATAAAAGAAAAAAAGGGAGAGTGACTCAACTTGACGTGGGGGATGGGGTGAGGGTCGGAGGTGAAGAAAAATAAAGAAAATGGAGGGATGGATCACTTGAATGGGGATGGAAGATGAAGTGTAATTTAAGATGAAATCAAAATTAAAATAAGTAAAAAGTAAAAGAGAGAAAAAAGAAAAAAACTATGAAAAATATAACATTTTAAATTAAATTAACACGTGTCATGTAATGATTGGTGTGTGAACACACATGCTTCTTAAAATCTGGGCTGACTGAAAAATGATATGATAATATAGGATTCGGCTCCCCTCCACTACCCCATCCCTCCATTTCGTCAAGTGCACGTCTAGATTAGAGACATGTGTCATATTTAAAGTTTAAAGGTCAAGATTATATTATATTAGCAAATATCATAACCATAGTTAAGTCAATTAATTTCAGAAAACTACTCTCCAAATTTGGTAAGGATTACAATATATTCTATACAAAATTTGATATTTATTAATATCATTAATTTCATATTATATTTTTGTATTTAAATATTAAATTGTAAATTTTTAGTTTTAAACCAATTATTTTTAAATGATAAAAGATTGCTATTCTGTGTTCTTTTAATTACTTCTGATCAATTCCAATGTTCTCCTTTTTTTGGGATCATTTTTCAGCTTATTTAATTCTACTAAACAATTGCTAGAACGGAAAATGATTTTTTTTGTCTATTGCTACAGTACGTTTTAAAAAAAATAAAAATTAAATAATTGGAGTGGATTAGTAAAATAAATAAAATAGGAATTTTTTACCAAAGTAAGCTATTATAAAATTCAATTTACCAAAATAATACATTTTTTTGAAATTTACAAAACTAGTATAAACGTAGTTCACAGTAACGTTTTAGGTTATATTTTATTCAAAAAAATTGAATAACTAAAAGACAAAAATCTGACAGAGTAAATAGACATAAAACATTATTGTCAGTAACGTTTTATAATTCGTGTAATGATCTGATTTTTATTTTTGGAAATTTGGATTTATTCGTTAAACCTGAGTTAATTAATTGATGGGTCTTCTATTATTTTCCACCATCTAACACACCAACTTCTCTCTAACACCTGCTCACCAACGGTAACATTACGACCGTTGACGGTCGAACCTTGGAGCTCCGGTCATCGGAGCTCCCCATGGAAACTCACAGAACAACCCAGGTTGCGAAGCGAAACAATTTAGACTCACAAAGCCAACATCAGATGGATTTTCCCCGACTGAATAATCTTAAAATCACCCCAACTCCTAACAGCCAGAGCAGCAAAACAGGCCCGCCTTTAAATTTTGCAGCAGCTTTAGGAGGAAATGGAGGAAATGGTGCAAGGAGGAAGATACGACTTCCACATCGGCCCTATGACTTGAAAGAAGGAAAATCAGTCGTCTCCTTCTCTAAGGAAGAAAATGATATGTTAGCCGAAACTTGCAAGCTCACTCTCATAGGTAAGTTCACAAAAATTCGCCCATCGATTGAGAAAATTAGGGACGAGTTTAAGATGTCTATTCTTCTTAGAGGAAGATCATAGAAATGTGTATGGGAGGAACTTCCTTACCCTCTGCAATACGCAGATGAAACTGCTAAAATGGAAGTTTGATTTTAGGCCAGAGGCTGAGACCACCTTAGCTCCAGTCTGGATCAATCTTCCAGATTTGAGATGGCATTTTTTTGAATGGGATGCACTCTGTAGAATTGTGGCTCCTATTGGAGTTCCAATCATTGCAGATAAAGCAACTCTTTCAAAAACTAGACCAACTACGGCAAAAATTAAAGTGGAAATTGACATCACTAAGGCTCAAATCTCGGAAATTCAAATTGTGGTCAAGAATGAAGATGGAGAGCTAGAGTCTACTAATCAAAGGGTGGAGTATGAAAATGTGCCGGAGTACTGCTTTAATTGTAAAGCTCAGGGTCACAGTGATGAGAACTGCAGGATTTTACATCCTGAACTCAGAGGAAGTGATAACAAAAACAGTACAAATGAGACACAAATGCAGCAACAAAAGAAAGTAGAAGACCTGAATGAGGCGTCAAAGAAAAGGAATGAAAGCTCAACAATCAAATAGGACAAAATAAGTGGAAGTGAAGTTAAAAGTAAAAGTTCGGAAGAGGATGAAGGATGGACGACAATGTCCAAAGGGAAAGGAAATATCAAAATTCAGGGAAGCAATGGTCAGGGTAATCAAAAAACCATCGAAACTGAGAATCAATTTACCTTTACAGCAAAGGAAGTGGGAAACAAGGCAGAAGGCAGACCAAATGAAACCTCCAACTTGTTTGGCATCACATCCACAGCTCAGGAAAATTCTAACATTGAAAACATAAGCTCAAAAAGAGGCAAGAGAAAAGTCACCGCCACACCAAGATGGATACAGGAGAATGCCAACCAGGTTGCAGTTAGGAAGGCTAGAATACAAAAGAAAGTGGTTGAGACCTTTAGGCCACCCCTATGAAAGAAGAACAAGAAGTAAAAAATGAGATAAGGAAGAAGGGGAGGAAAAGGATGCACAACGAAGGGACAACAACAAAGTCCTCACAGTTCACGACAACAAGGAGAAAAAGAATAACAACATGGTTGAAGAGACACTCCATACTAAAAAACAGGTTAATTTGGAAGCTGTACAAAACTTGGCCCCGGTAGATCGAGGAAAAAAACAGGTCCAAGAGCCAAAGAAGAACAATAACCCAGGAATAAACGCCAAAATGGAAGACGAATACAACCACTATGAATCAGTCTCAGAGGAGGAGATGGAGGAAGACCACTTCCATGATATTCCAGATCAAACTTCTGAGAGTGAATTCATCAAAGTCAATGGAGAAAATCAAGGAGTTATTACTAACTCTAAGGAAACCATTACAAACGAGAATAATCTTTATTCGGTTCATATCACACTAGCCACTGAAGGAACTTCTTTAGCTGATAAGGACTGTTCCATGGTGGAAAGTAATAATTCTTCTCAAAATAATATGCTTAGTTCCATACCTAATAGTTTTTAATGATTAATATCATCTCATGGAATATTAGGAGTGTTAGGACCCTAAGTGCATTTGAAAGGCTTAAGAATATGAAAAACCAATTTAACTCTTCCTTCATTAGCCTACAAGAGCCTTTCGTCAAAGCAGAACATATAGAATACTATATGAGAATGCTAGACATGCAGGGTTCTTATGCTAATGTTAATAACAAAATTTGGCTTTTGTGGACAAACGATATCAATATCACAATTCTTCATGATACTGAGCAACATGTTATGCTAATCATACAACTTCAGGGACTAACTTTCATATATCCTTGGTGTATGCCAAATACAGGACTAACATGAGAAGAGACTTATGGGAGGACTTGGTTTCCATCTCAAACAATATCCAAGGTCCCTGGAGCATTGTGGAGGATTTCAATGTAATTGCTGAGGTCGAGGAAAAGCTAGGAGGAACCCCATACAGATTGGAGAAGAGTTTTGAATTCTTAAACTTTATGGAAGATGTTGGTGTCCAAGATGCTGGTTTTGCGGGGAACATATTTACGTGGTGTAATAACAGGGATGCTCCGAGCACTATCTGGAAAAGGATGGACAGAATGTTATATAATTTAGAATGGTTTGATCACTTCTCCAAAACAACTGTGTCTCACCTAGCTAGAACCTGTTCTGATCATGCACCTTTGGTGATCCAACTCTCTAGTGAGGAAGAAGAGTTTAAGAGATACTTTAGATTCCTTAATACTTGGACAGAACACCCTCAATTCCTCGATACAGTTCAAGGAATATGGAACATCGAATGTCATGGAAATCCAATGTGGGTACTTCATCAAAAACTAAAAAAAACTGCTACTCATCTCAGCACCTGGTCTAAAGCTACATATGTAGATTTTTATGAGGTTTCCAAGAGACTGGAAAAAGAGATCATAAACTTGGAACAAACTATGCAGGCTGACAGGTCTCCAACTACAAGAACTACTCTCAACAAGAAAAAAGGTGAGTATGTGTCTTACTTAAAAATCCAAGAGAATATTCTGAGACAAAAAGCCAAAGTGAGATGGCTAGTAGATAGGGATACAAACTCAGCATACTTCCATAAGGTTATTAAAGATAGACGAAGAAGGACTAGGATCAATAAGATAATGGACGAGGATCAACAATGAGTGGAAGGTAATACTAATGTGGCTGAAGCAGGAGTTAAGTACTTTAAAGGAATATTTGGTCAGGTCCCTGACTATAATGACTTCCAAGCCTTTGAGGGTATCAACATTACTATCACAGATGATATGAACCATGCATTGACAACATTTCCAACGGAAGAAGAGATCGGAATGAACTTGATGACCATGGATCCTGACAGTGCCCCTGGGCCTGATGGATTCACAGCTAGGTTTTTTCAGACTTGTTGGGGAGTGGTAACCCCTGAGGTTACTAAAGCTTTGCATTCTTTCTTTTGTGGTGCTAGTCTTCCTAAGTGGTTTACTCATACTAACATTGCCATGATCCCCAAAATTAATCACCCTCAACAATTTTCTGATATGAGGCCTATTAGCCTTTGTAATGTAATTAGTAAAATTTTCTCTAAAGTTCTGAACTCCAGACTTAGTAAGGTGCTCCCACTTTTGATTAGTAATAATCAAAGTGGTTTCATCAAGGGTAGATCTATTACTGAGAACATCCTTCTTGCTCAAGAAATTATTCAGGACATAGGTTCTACTAATGTGGAAGGTAATGTTGTTCTTAAATTAGACATGGCTAAAGCTTATGATAGAGTCTCTTGGCCTTATCTGTGCATTCTCATGAGAAGGATGGGGTTCTGTGAATTATAGATTGACTTAATTTTTAGGCATATCTCCAGTAACTGGTATTCCCTACTAGTTAACAGAAGTAGGTATGATTTTTTTCAATCCAATAGGGGTCTCAGACAAGGAGACCCTCTCTCCTTCCTTGTTTGTTATTAGTGCTGAATTTCTCTCTTTTAAACTTAACAACCTTAATCATAACCTTGAATTCATTGGATTTAGCATGAATAAAAGGGGGCCAATTATTAATCATCTAGCATTTGCTGATGACATTATCTTATTTTCTAATGGTTGCAGGAGATCTCTGGAGTTGATGATGAAAGTTTTGGGCAACTACGAGAAAGTTTCAGGACAAGAGGTTAACAAGATGAAATCTAGTGTGTCACTTTCTAACAAAGAACACTCTCATTCTAAGCGAAGGATTCAGGAGATCACTGGTATGACTTACAAAAGTCTACCAATCAAGTACTTGGGTTGCCCACTATATGAAGGGCGGAAGAACAATGCTTTATTCTCTGGAATGATGAGTAAAATACTTCACAGGATCGGGGGTTGGCAAACTAAATTTCTTTCAATAGGAGGAAGAAGTGTTTTGATTAAACATGTACTGCTCTCACTTCCTGTCTACACCCTAGCAACAATTCATCCTCCCATTGGTGTGCTAAACCAAATAGAAAAAATGTTTAACAGATTTCTTTGGGGTGGTTCAGGTGAGAAAAAGAAAATGCACTGGGCCTCTTGGAACTCGATGTGCTATCCATATGATGAAGGAGGTGTCTCTTTTAGAAGACTTCAAGACATTTGTAAAGCTTTCACTACCAAACAGTGGTGGACCTTAAGGGCAACTAACTCTTTATGGAAGGAGTTTCTAATGGCTAAGTATTGCCAAAGGATTCATCCTGTGATTAAGAGGTGGTACGCGGGAAACTCTCACTCTTGGAATGCTATGTGCAAAATCAAAAGTACTATGGATCAATATATACTATGGAAAATAGGCAGAGGAGATGTCTCATTGTGGCAAGATAACTGGACAGGATTTGGAGCTCTCTGGCAATTTTTCCCTAATGATAGAAAACCAAGAGAGCAAAAAATTTCTGATATCTACATTAATGGACAATGGCAATGGGGAGGTTGGGACATTTTCATACCTAATCATGTGATGGAGCATATTCATAGTATGAATGTAGATTTGAACTTGAATGTCGATGATAGGCCTATTTGTACTCCAACGCAAAATGGTTCCTTCACAATGGCCTCGGCTTGGGAAATTCAGAGGCAGAAGAATGATAAGAGCTGCTTTGATTCCAACACCTGGTGTAAGAGAGTGCCCCTCAAGATGAGTTTCATCCTGTGGAGAGTAGTGAGAGACAGAATCCCCACAGATTCTAGACTCACAAAGATGGGAATTGCTATGCCGTCAAGATGTTGTTGCTGCAAATCACCTCAGGAGGAAGATGTTGACCATTTCAGCTGCTCTGAGGAATTTGCAAAAAAGATTTGGTCAATTCTTTGTGGATCACTGGGGATTCCTTTTGATAACATTTCCATCAGAATGTTAATCAAGTTTTGGTGGACTTGGAAAACAAAGAATCCAGTCTTGAACATGCTAATGAAATGTATCCCTGTTATCACCTTGTGGGAATTGTGGAAAACAAGATGTGGGGCTAAATACGGTACGGACAATTACAACACATGGAAAAGTATTAACAATATCTCTTCATCTTTAGTCCTGATTCTTAAAGGACAGTTTGAGAAGATTAAGGTAGACCCTGACTGGGAATCAGTCCGTTACTTGCTGATAAGCAACATCCCCGACAAAAAAATTGTTCAGGTTAAATGGTTGAAGCCCTCTAACAGCTTTGTGAAGATTAATTCTGACGGAAGTTGTAAAGATGGTTATTGTGGAGGTGGAGGGGTGATTCGAGACCACCGTGGGCATCTTATTTTTGCGTATTCACTAAATCTTGGACATAGTACCAACAATTGGGCAGAAGCTAAAGCATTGTTGTATGGAATTGAATGGTGTGTGAGGAATGAATATGATTATATTCTAGTGGAAAGTGACTCCAAGGTGTTGGTGGACTGTGTGAATCAACTCTATACCATGGAGAATTTATGATGAAGTGAGAAAATTGAAAGCTCATATGGAGACTACTGGCTTCATTTTAAGCCACTGCTACAGAGAGGCAAACAAAGTTGCGGATCATCTGGCATCTCTTAGTTACGACAATCCTAACAACATGTCCTATGATGTTTTTGCAGAACTACCGAGTAGAGTAAAAGGACTAATGAACATGGATAGGTGGGAGATGACAAACTTTAGAACCATGAAGAAGAAGAGGAATGATCTGATTTGGGAACCTCCTTGAGAGCAATTATCTATTGGCAATAGATAATATAGATTCTGTTATATTGGCTCATTTGGTTAATATAGCCAAATGTAAAAGCCACCTCTTGCATTTTCTTCATCTCAAATAGGATATCTTGATATCCTCTTCTCTTATTAGGGAGTAGTAATTCACTAAGTGTAATCTCCCTCAGATCATATGTAACTTTTTGCTGGAAGATGAATAAAATGCGTTTCTATTAAAAAAAAAAAAAAAAAAAAATTAATTAATTGACGGGTAATTGTAGATAATTGACAGTTAATGGGCTAAAGTGATCATATATTTAAGACCCTATACCATTAGGCCATGTATTAAAAATAAGTTAGTGGATTTTGTCAGTTTTAATAAACAATTAATTTGAAAGAGAAATAGAAAGGGAAAGGAGGAACGGACGGTGGCGGCATCAAATTACGAGCAGCTTCAGGTAATGCATTAATTGCTATGCATATATATATGTGTGTGTGTGTGTGTAAAACCAGTAGTATAGTAGGTAGGAAAATAAGTGGGTTGCCTCTTGAATTTGTAGATTAGATAGGTGCCTTTTATCGGGTTTTTTAAACCTTAATTCCTTACCAACAATTGATGGCTATCAATGAGAGAATGATTTGGCAATGAGTGCCTTTTTAGGATTAATCGTTAGCAAATTAGGAATTGGTTCTTAGAGGAAATATAGTATTATATTGTGGGTATCTTATTGTGAATTGATCGTTGCTGTAACCGTGGCTTTTACTATTTTTCTTGGTGTCAAATTAAGAATTTAACGTGACCATTAAATTTAAGGACAATTATAAAACAATAATTTTATAATAATGAAGGGTGATTGGATAGTGTTTGAAGTATGGATGGATGGTTGTTTTGGGTAACGAATCTAAGTTACTGGTTTGTCATTTTCTTTAGGGTTCTCCTTTTATTTTATTGTTATAGTTACCTCATAAATCAAGTTTTAATAATATTGAGATTGTTGTGCCGTAATTTGACTATCTCTAGAAAAATCACTTTTTGAAATGTTCTAAGTATAAAACATTTGAGAAATACTTAGAAAGAGTCGCCACTTAATTTTTTAAAGAAATTAAGAAAACTTATAATTTCCAAAGATTTAAACAGAAAATATCATATGAAAATACCAAAAGAGGGTTCGGGGTTCAATTTACACTTCGAGAAGGGTTTAAGCATTCGAAGTGTCCGCTAACATGCGGTTGACCTGCGACTTGACTAAATATTTGACTGTTTTTGGAAAAAGTGATTTAACATAAGAAAATAATAATTTACAATATTTGATTAATTTTGAGAAAATAATTAAATAGATGACACATTTTTATTTTTTTATTTTTTTATTATTTTTAGAGAAATGGGACCCAAAAATGAAACATTTGAATTAGATTGCAAGTGATTAGAATATTAAATAAACTAGACTAATTAGAATTTATTTAATTCATTTTGAAATAGTAATTTA